ATGTGGAGCCAATCAGGTTTTGCAGTAGTAATGATACAGGCCCTCTCTTGGGCTCTTTGTAGATGGTTCAGTCCATCTGATGCAGAGCAACCTAGAAAAATAACCTACTTTGCGTTTCCCATGTCCTTTACTAATCAGATCATATTATATTGCTTGTTTTTAATTGTAGTATTGTTTTTAAAAAAAGCTTATAAATAAACGGAAGAAAAAAATACAGCAACACTTTGTCCCTAAAACAGGGTAGAAGTGATAATATTTGCAGTATGTCAAGGTTTTGTTTTCTATTGGTATAAATTCTAACCATATTAACTCATTTAGAAAGATATATTTGTAAGAATTTAAGCTGTGGTGAGACTTCTGTCAAGGCCAGTCTCTTCTCTTTTAAGAAAATGGAAGTAGTTCCAGCTGCCCAGTTCTAGATTCATGCAATAGAAAACGAACAGCACAAACTTGAAGAGATTTACGGTATCTTGTCTCTGCCCAGGACAATGTCATTCAATGGCTAGGATGGCAGGTTCAGCAGGGTGACTCTAGCTTGACAGGACCTGTCTGTGTGATTTCCCTCTTAGAACTGAAAAACAGAGCTGAGATTTCTTTTTCACTGCAAACTTCCGTAACCCTTCCTCATGGAAACCATTCCTCCTTCATATTCATCCCAGCCTTGTGCCTGGCCCACAGCAGAGAGGAATTAACCAAAGTGCAAAATTTCCTATAGTGTAGCTCCATTCAGGGGTTATTCCAGCTCAGTTAGTCTGGATTACTGCTATTTTAAATTCTTACTCCTTTGCAAGCCTATTTCAAAGGAGACTGAGTTTGAGTTGTTTATCCCGTGTGTATTTTAGTGTGCCAGGACAACCATACTTGGATGAGCCCTACCAAAGCATCTGCTTCCAAACTTTCTTGACCACTTTACAGTCTCCAAAATTGTCTGACATGGATGATATCACATTTTGCATGGTAGGTGGGAATATCACTGATCTTGTGAATGTTATAGATGCGTTTGGAAGCAGCAGTAGAACAGAGGCAGTGACTGAAGAGTTTAGTTTGTTTGCTGTATGATGTTAGTTTTGTCTAGAGATATAGACGGAAGTGGAGTGTTCATAACATGAAAAGACTGAAGTC